GAGTGACTGCGTCCGTGAGTAATTGTCATCCGCAAATATCTATTATCATTATCTACAACTAACTGCGTCTGCGAGTAACTAACGCCCAAAACTAACTATGATTGTGTCCTTAACTGACTGTCAACGTCGGCCGCAAGTAACTGTCACCCGTGACTAATTGTGATTGTGCTCTCAAGCGACTGTCAACGTCAACCGCAAGTCATTGTCGTCCGCAATTGATAGTCACTGTCGTCCACAATAGTCACCCGCAACTAAACGGCGCCTGCAACCAACCGTCATCATTGCATGCGAGTCACTATCGTCCGCAACTAGCCGTCACTGTTGCCCGCGATTGGCCGTCACCGTCATCTCCAACTGGTAGTCGTTCGTGACTACTGATCATATTGACCGTAGAGTTATCCGCCAAGCGGCATCATCCTACCGCGCACGCCGTGCGGGAGAGAGAGGAGGGATGCCGCCATAAATGCACTCGGCTTGTAAATTTACATTGCATCGGCCCCGAGGGCCGCAATGCTGGTCTCGTCCTACTGCAAAAAGGAATCGTTACTCCGACCACCGCGCATGCCTCTATCCGAGGGGTTGGTCTCATACTGAACGCCTCTCCGCCACGCACGGCTTGCGGTCGAACCGCTCAAGTTGTTAACTTCTTGTAAGGGAAGATTGTGAAATTATATTTTTGCTACAATCACTCCAATTCGGTTCCTTTAATAGAATCACCCATGTCGGCAAGCAAGCACGCCCTCACTCGCTCACAGCTAGCTAGCTCACCGAGCAGTAACATTTGCTGCAATGTTTTCAACTGAAGATCTACTAATCTGTACGCTAAAGGCGTCGAGGCCAGGCTTGTCTCGCAGTAAAGTCTTAAGAAGCAACCTTTGATAATATGCTATCAAAGTTTCTTACTACACAAGAGCAGTTTGCTGAGAATCGTTGTCCTTGATCATGAAAGTCTTCCCCTTGGTCTCCACTTCCTAGGCTTATATACTAAGTATTATTGGAACTCCTCCTTTTTCTTTGTATCTCCTTCCTTCATCCGACTAACTTCAAGCTTTAACCTGACAATAGTGTCATACAAGCATACTGAATCTCTAAATAGAGTATAAGTAGGATTTTTTATAATCCATAAACGCCTCCAAAATGTGAACGGCTGAGCTGACAAGATGAGTGTGTTGAGGATTTATATCTTTCAGCAACAAGAGCAGAGTGGATATCAGCCATGTTTCCCTCAAGGAGACACAACTAGAGGATGAAAAAACCAACACAGTGACAAGAGATAGCAAAGCTTCCACGAATGCAACCAAACAACCCCTGTACTACCAATAACTAAACCGACAACCTTCTCAATCAAACTAGGCAAAATACCTCTATGACCACCCGCATTGATAATGGTGGGCACACTCGACTATTGTGATCTGTCTTGTGACTCGGATGCCAATATAACAAGAATCTTACTATCCTCATGGACTGTTTCCTCACAACGTAAATAAATTGTAAATAAATCGTTCACAAATTTGGGATTGTTAATGAAAAATGCTGTCAAATCTTTGTGGGCAGGATTTGACTACGGCAAGACGATGAAAGCAAGTTACCGTATACAATATTTTACTTTCAGCTTGTGAGAGAGTCAAACATACTGGAAATACTTATTTGTGTTAGCAGAGAGTAGCAAAGACTAGGAGGCACATTATGTTGATCTATGAGCTTCTTCAACAACTCAAGATCATTCTCTGGTCGTAGATGCAAATCTGAGATGTGCACGACCTGCAACCCAGAGGCTTTTGAGGGAGGTTTCACATCATACTCCCCTTGTGTATTTCCATCCGCATAAAAATCAAATGCATTGTTGATCCTAATCTATACTTGTCTACATCACACCCATTTACAATAGCACAATTTAATAGCCTCAAGCCTTCTTCTTTGCCACCCCATACCTTTCTCATAGTTCCAAGAGAATCGGATCAAGGTAGACTCAATATTTTCCAAAGGAGTGTTGATCACAGTATTGATGAATGTTTTTACTCGAAGGGGATGGTCGAGCCCCGCTTTTTCTTTAACTTCATGTTTTCGCTCTCACGGCAAAACTATCTATCAGAGCTGTGACATGTGCCTGCAGCCTACGACCTCTATCTATCCACTGCAAGGGATTGCCATCTCCAAACCGCTTGTAACAGAGTAGCAAGCAAGGAAGTATTCTCCTCATCACTCAAATCTGACTGCGGCAAAAAGACCCGCATACACTTCTGATGGAAATCCCCCGAGGAGTTTCTCCGAGCGCAAGAACCAGTAGCACATCCTGCTGATCTTAATCCAAAAAATCCTCAGTTGCGGTCTCTGTCTATCTCCTTGTGACAAATTTCTCTACAAACTGCAAAAAAAACATTAACATTATCTTCAAAAAAATTGTCAACAATTCTATACACTGTCAATTTTCAAAACCAAAAACTGTATTGAGTACTACTTCACTTGAAAAAACATTATTAGAAAAACAAATTAAAATTTCTCAATCAAAAAACACAACCTTCAGAACCGAAAGAGTGTTTGACTTAGACATCAAATGGAAACTTGCTTTGATATCAATTTGATAGTTAAAAATCAAGAATTACAAACACACTAGTGACACTAAACATAGGCAATTTCAAGGTGTAACATGATTCATCCCAAAGGGGAAGTGCATTGTGAGATTATACTGAACGTTCTGTCTGATAATACATAGACCCTAGGTATATATACGCAACATCGACGACCAACCTAGCTATAAGTAGCTAGAACATAAGGTCACTACTTAACTAGAGTTTAACTCAACATATTTTAAGTTTCAAAATATAAGTTTTCTACTCTCAAATTCATATGATTTCAGCTTTCATAATTTTTTTCCACATATTGCGGTTTATTTTATACATTACATCAAGTTTATGAATTTATTCTATTCCAATATATCATTTAAATCATGAATAATGATAAAATGAAACTATATAAAATAAATTGCCTTCTTGACAAGTTACAAAAATTATCAATTGAAATATTTCATCAGTTATTGTGATTCAATAGCAATGAATTAAAATTTCAAATTTCAAAAGATTTATCAAGCACATGATGCAGATGATAAATTATTGTTTCATGATATCAAGAATTTCAGTTAGAAACATTTTCTTTAATCAAGAATAATAAATATACATTGTATTGAATGAAATTACTCTAATCCCAAATTTATTTTTATGGTTGGCTTTTTGTTTAACTACTGCTTTGAATGTACTTCATTCTTCCATTTAACATTTATTATTTTCAATTTTAATATTTTCATTGAAAACTAATTCTGTTTTATAGGAATAACTTTGAATAAAAACTGATAAAAACAACCTTTCAGATAACAAAAATTAGTGCTATATCCATCATGAATTACATACTTACTATATACATCTAGACTTCATTTTTCATCAAGCTCTATGAAACAAGCTTACTATATGGGCAATAATAAATAGAAAAGTATATAGAATAATGGATAGAGAATGACAACATTAAATGTTTCAAGTAAAATAAATAAATAAATATATATATATATATATATATATATAAAAATAAGTTGATATCAATGTTACTCTAGTATTGAAAATACATGAAAAATCACAGGTGTATTCAATATAACCCACGTTCAAAATAAAGTGTGAGATTTTACATGCTAGACTTAACATCGTTCTTTTTTTAATACTAGCTACTATATTTATGGTCACATGTTACCATACATCTACAGGGGCGATCAGTTCACTTTCAGCTTTCATAATAGTTCATGATTCAGATTGACATATATGTAAAATCGTAAGACTGATAACGAGGTTCTTTTGGAATCTTGTACTAGCTTGTTATCCTCTTTGAGAACATCTATGTGGGACTTCATCGGGTTATCTCATCTCCAAATGCTATATAATGCTTTATATTTGTTCCTTCATAAGTATAAAAGCAAAGTTGTAAGGTTCCTTGAATTCTTGTTCCTAGTCTCTGTCAAAGTCTCTTGTTGCGTCTACATGCTCTCCGACTGTCCCAATCCTGAGTCAGGCCTAGGGATGAACGCAAAGAGGCTGCTGTTGTGAATTACCTTCACAAGACGTTAGACAATATCAAACAAGGAAACTAAGTAACATCATCACAGTAGGACAACCCAGAACAACAAGACGCGGAAGTGAATGACGGATTAAAATGCAAGCTTTCAGGAATTATATCTTCCCAACTAGCGTCTAATGCGGCCATTTCAACTAATGGGGATCAAAAGCTCGTGTAGTGACGACAGACAAATACTCAACATGACTAATTCGATAACAATCGTCCCTCCAATTTCTATACCGACGACATCCCTCCAATCTTCCCAATATTTACACAGTTTTGAAGGGTTTGAATGTGTTACTTCGTTCAGTAATCAATTGGTCAAAAAGTGTTTTATATTTGCTGAATATATGAACATTGATGTCTACTGTTTCTTACTTAGCTATGATTCCCTAACTTCCCTTTCGAAATGAATACTGTTTGTTCATTATTGCTTCTACACTCATTCTCCTCGGACTACCGTTTCCAATTACAGTAAGCAAATCTACTCTTCCTCAAATTTGGATAAAATGTTCTCTACAACTTTCAAACGCATTGTGCTCACTACTAGATGACCGGTATCCAATATGATGCGCGACTTTAGCTTCGCAGCATCTCTACTAAGAGACTGCAAAAACCACATTCCATTCATAGAGGCTTTACAGCAATTTCTCTCCTTCCATCTCGCCGGTGAAGACTGCAGCATATACCGTACTTAAAACACCTGTTCACATGACGTATGAGGAGTTAAGTAAACAAGCACTAAAAAACCGTGTGAATAGAGGTACATGTGCACAAGCTTGCAAAATATGTCAAGGGTAGCTGCCCACATATACCACCTCCGACATTCACCATTCAGATCAAATCATCCGAAACTGGATGCATCATTCAGGACAAGGGCAGCAAAGCTGCCTGAGCAGACGCTTGTACAAAGTGAGTGACACTTGATTTCAGTGACCGGCAAAGGTTTTTGTGTACACGGGTTTAGTGAGAGACGAAGTTGAGGTTGAGGTCGATGCCTAGAATCGAGGCTACAGCTGATCCCTGATTCCTTCACCTTTAGACTTCTGACTCAATTATTCTTGAGCTCTTTACAGTGACGTTGAATCTGACAAGACAAGATCGAAATAGATCTAATTGAGTTTCCGTGTCTTTCTGTTCTATAACTGAAATATTCTTATGCCGCAACCTTTTTTGATGTCACTGAATTGCAAATGGTGCCAAAATCCGGTCCCTGCATAGTCAGCACAAGAAAGGAAGATGAGAACGATAAGAAACAAGCGCAGAACAGAGCGTGGCAATTCGATTCTAAGCTTTTGAGTCCTTTCAAAGACACCGATCATAGTCAAGGTCAGCTTACAGAAACTTCTGGAAAGCACTTCTAAGTCTTCAGGTAATCAAGGAAACATTACAATCAAACATTTGACCGGTGGCTTGCGTAAAGCGTGTAAAGTAGTAGCGAAAAACATTATGTTCCCTTGATAATTGACTCATACCTTCAGAGACGCACCACCGACGAGGAAACCATCGATGTCTTCCTTCTTCGCAAGCTCAGCACAGTTGCCAGCGTTCACAGAACCTGGTCATCAATGAAAGAGGGGAGGACTATGTGTTGAAATCACAGATTGGAGAAGAATTAAAATAAAAAACCACTACTCATAATAGACAGAGCATTTTGAGTTTACAAGTACGGCGGCTCGAATATCTACTCCTCTTGCATTGCAGCTAAGTAGATAAGCTACAGATAAGCTACAGACACGCGACGTACCACCGTAAATGATGCGGGTTTGAGCCGACGCTTCCGGAGAAACGTTGTCCACCAACCATCCCCTGATGGCTTCATGCACTTCCTGCGCTTGCTGCGGCGTCGCCACTTTGCCAGTGCCAATAGCCCAGACGGGCTCGTAGGCAATGACCACATCTGTCCAGCTTGGGACTTCATCTGCGGCAACATTCAACAGTGGATTTAAGAACAGAAAACTACACGCATGAAAAGACGGCAGAGCTGGATACGTCCTATATCACAATCACCTTCAGGACAAGGAGACAACAAACTTGAACACGAAACTTTGGAATATATAATATGCGAGCATTTCGAATTACGAAAGCCTTGAACCACAGGCAGCCGCCAAAGAGAGATGCAGCATGCATCCTTGAAGACATGTGTGCACTAGAGGAGGGGACCAACTATTAAGGCATGTGCACCTGCGTAAGCTTTCAATTGTTGAAATACGACTTCAAAAGTCTTTCCCGCTTCTCGCTCTTCCAAAAGTTCACCAACACAGGCCATCACTTTCACACCCTTGCTGAGGGCATAAGCAGCCTTCTTTCCAATGAACTGCCAATGCAAATGTGATAGCGATATTAGTTTCACAATAACAACAAGTCAGCAAAGAGCGAGCAGCCGCTCGAAATGGACCCCTCTTACCACTAAGAAACATTGATTGACCTTTCCAACTTGAAAACCAATGTAAGAGCTGTAAGAGCTTACCTCATCTTTCTCACCAAGAACATGTCTGCGCTCCGAGTGACCGAGAATAACCCATCCAACACCAAGATCTGCGAGCTGCTCAGCACTGTTCAAGAGCAAAACAGTGCTTGATTAACGACAAAATGTGATAGCAGTGACAGTATTACCACGTCCAGACAAGTGCCACACCCTGGGACTTCGGACATATTCCTGACATTAAAGCAGTCGCCCACTTCGGCAGGAAAGTATGAAAGGAGTTCAATGTTGATAGAAAAGTTTCTACAGGACTTGATGTCGTTTCCGCACACAACGAGTTTCCGCACACAACGAAAAGGGAGATTTTCAGAGCGTGAGATATTTTCAAGCCACCACAAGATAAATAGGCTAATTAGCAGACCTGATCTCTCCGGTGAATGCTCCACCCTTTCCTACCCAGGAATTTTGGGCAGAAACTTCAATGCGCTTGGTCAAGGAGTTAAGTACCATATCAAGGTAGATAAAGGGCGGTGCAACCACCACATCTGCTCGACAGAGAGGAATGTGCGTCAAGCTCTTATGCACGCGAATGCACGCGTTGCATTCGCGTGCTGCTGGCTTGAACTAAACGGATGCAGATGCAGCGAATAAATCAACATGCGAACGATAAACGCAATGAACAGCATCCAACTTTTCAAATTTTCTGCATCCTAGAGTCTTAAAGACACGCATCGACATTGCCGTTTTCTTGGTTCGCCCCACGGCACTCACCAACATCATCTTCGAACTTAATGTCGTTCAATTCCGCGACGAGCTTCTTGACTGACTCCTTGGTTCCATTCTGCAAACATGTGGACAAGGTAAATCTACTGTGTAACTTTCACCTTTAACGACGATACTGTACAAATCAGCAGATGCACATCTAGCCGGAAGATATGACGCTCGCGCTCACTCAATGTCAGGATCTTGGGCAGTGTAGAAGACGGCAGGACTAAACGAAGGGCGCTCAGAAAAGAACTTACGGCTTTCCAGTTGCCTCCGACGAAGAACTGCGCAAAAAAACGCCTGGAAGTTAGCGCAGTCATAAAACTCGAGTTGGAACCGAAAACATCGTGTGCCAGGTCATACGCGATAAAAGAAAGCATGGCATCGTGGCGAAGATGCATTACAAGTCCTGCTTGGTCAAATATTGATTTTTTACAGGACACGATGACGACAATGATAGGCTATGAAAAGAGCTTCAGATGATAACGGTACCCTACTGGAATCGAATTAGCAAACTCCGTCCATTTACGATAGTCTAGCGGGGAGGAACTCGGCGTCGTTGCCCCGATGCAATTCCTGTGCTTCGAGACCCTACTTAAATCAAACTTTCAAACTCGTACACCCCATCGCCCAAACCCTCGGGAGACTCATTATCCTGTAATAAACGCCTTGCTAAAGGCTTGAACAGTGTTCACTCCAGGTATAAAATGCAGGTCTCGATTGAACCCACCAGGTTGTTCACACGTAACCAAAAGGCCCGGACGGACGACAAAAGACAGCAAACAGGAGAAAGAAGCCACAAAGATAACAAAAGAAACCCGCTAGTCAATCTCTTGAACTCAATTGCCACAAGGCATGCTGGCCCAAACACGCGATCATCACACTGCTCGCTTCCCATGCCCGGCGACTTTCGAAACAAGATTGCAAAATGCGAAACCAAAACTCTCGTCCATGCGTCCAATTGCCCAGAAGCAGAGGTCCCTGCACTCCTACTCCTTCGCGAAATTGACCCCTCCGCAGACCAGACTACGTAAAGATTGCTCAATTGCCATCATCACAAATGATCGAGCCACATCCCGCCAGTCACCCAGGTACAGAAGAGGATCAGGCAACACACCCGGCACAACAATCAGCACATCAAATTTCACGACGTGTCGTTAATCTCAAAATTATTCACCTTGCCGGTTCCGACCATGGTGACAACGCCCCGGTGACCTGTCTTCTCGGCGGAGATGGAAAAGAGTTGCTGGTGAATTGCAAGCGCGAAACTCTGCTCGCGTCGCTCCGACACTGGAAAACCTGCTCTTCTTAACCCGCAAAATTGCACTTCGGGGACAAAGCCACGGCTACTGCTGCTGCTGGTGGCACTACTGGCCCCGTGAGCGACTGCTCTCGACGCTGCCGCTGCTCTGAGAACTGCGCAACTCATGCTGCCGAGGAGCACACATGCATGCGCCATGGCTGCCCCCGCCTACTTCTACTCGTGCCAGGCTCGCCACCTCGTCGTGGCAATTATCCTCGCCCGCGCCCGCGCCCCGATTCGGCGCGCCCGGCCACTCCGGCCACGCCTTCTTCTTCTTCTTCTTCTTCCACCACTTCCTCCTCCTACTTCGCAGTAACTAACCCCGCGCCCGACGTCGCCCGGCTCGGGTCGCGACTTTCCTGCAATCATCGAGACGTCCGCAGTTCGTCTCGGGTCTCGAGTCCTCCGCACGACGGGATCTCCGCTCGGACGCCAGCTAGAGGCGACCATTCAGCAGCGCTATTATTGGCAGTGGTGGCCCTTTTACAACTTATTCTAATCATTGGCTTAAAGCGAACGCCCCGACTCCATCGGCTACTTTATCGCGACTTCGATCCGACGGACCGCTGCAGAGCCTTACGGAGATTCGACCCTGGGGAATGTCCGGGGCGTCGCAGCGGCGCAGAGCTCGAATCGCATGCTGACTGTGAGAAATCCACTCTGACAGTGTCAGAGGAGTCCTGGCTGAGAGGTCCAGATCAGCAGAGCTTTCGGTATCTAAATCCACTTATCGACAGGCTCCGTCCCATGAGCGCGAGCTCCGGGCAGTGCGCCACCCCGAAGTACACTTGTCAATTGGACATCCAACTCAGCGATGATGTGGACAGCAATCTCCGGTAAAAGCAATGACCCTCTCACGGAGGGATTCCACCGACGTCCCGGGCGACCGTGGACTGCGACGTCGCGGAGAAGGACTTCGTGCGAAAATGCAGTGGCTGCATTTCGGAGCTCTTTCCTTGGACGTCGCGGTCGGGCCTTGTGCAAACCGTACACGTCTTTCTCATTTAACCATCGGGTAACTCAGACACGGAACTCGTGTGTGGATGTGTCTCCGACGAAGGAGAGTGGAAGGAGACGCCGTCCCGGACGAACTCTGGTCCGCGACTTCCAACGACTGCGCTCTCCAAGTTGGGGCGAGGATGGAAGGCTCTCTGACCGTTAGGTCGGACGTCACGTGGGGAGAATCACTGTTCGTTGTCCGGACCGCCAGAATGGAGAGGGTCCACCAACCTACCAAGAGGCAGGTACTGGTCTTTCCTCAGGAGCAGACCATCTCATACCTGACGACTCTTAGGGGCATACGAATGTTCCGGTGGAATGGAGGCCGTGTATGCCAGATGGATATATTCTTCTGAACTACGCCGTATCCCAATGCACTGGAAAATACTCGTATACCATGAGACCTCGACAGACACCCACCTAGCTTTATTTAGAACCTCCTCTCATTGGCTCTAAGTTGGCCGGACGGACACAATGCTTTGGTGTGACCTTACGAGCTTACGACTTCATCCTCGCGCGCTAACTAGCTTTGGAGTCAGTGCGAAATTAGTAAAATTTGGGCATATTTTGGTTGCGGTAGCTTGTTACAATGATCGGTAGAAGACTATCCGGAGTCTTCCGAATTTGGTAGATTTACCAAAGTATTCTTAACGCCTCTTCACTCCATTGCTCACTTATTGTGATACCTTGCTTCTCAGGAATATCCTTGTACAATATCACAGGTGTAACAAATTAATTAATAAGGGTTTGTGATTGAAAGGACCGTATTTACAGACATGCTTCGGTAGATCTCGACTTGGAGAATGCCGAGGTTCTAATAATATTTGTAGAGAGGTCGGAGCTAGGTGCTTGTGAGTGAAATATCCCAAGGAATGTGTCTAAGTAAGAGCAATTTGCTAAAGGAGAAACTGAAGTGGCGGATATTTTCCAAGGTGGAAGCTGTGTGTAGTTTGTCGTAAGACTTTCAATAGGTCACAAAAGGCTACGGTCGTTAACGAATTCGTGCACACGCTTGCTGCTTGTACTGGTCGATTCTTCTAATATGTTTGAGTGTTTGAATACTCCCTCATTTATTAATGGACTAGTTTTTCGATGATGTAATTCTATTAAGATCGTCTGATAAGACCTTGACGAAATATGTATCGAATTAACTGGTTGCTTTTTTAACCTGTTGACCTGGATTTTGGAAAGCTACTCATCTGTAATATTCACATGCACAATTTATATCAATTCTTTAAATTAAGTTGTATCTTATAGAATTATGGCGCATAAAGAACAAAATGAATGAGAGTCAGATGTCATTTAGGATTTGATTTATTTTCGCGTAAATTTGACCTTTGAAGATTCATCGCACTTAAAGAAGTAAGAACATTTTCGAACTAAATCATAATTATTTTCCAAGGTATACGAATCTTTATAACATTATCGCTATCTTTCAAGTTAGGTATATACTAGATGTCTATATGAGTGTAGTGTGTGTTGCGCAAGTTGAAACACATAGAAAATGTGCAAGCATGTAGTATTGAACGTCAATACAGTGACAGACATAGTTTTTAGGTTGACAAGTGTTTCCTTATTCGTAGAGTTTAAGCATCTTGAATTGTTTATCAATCACAGCCACTTTTCAAAATAGACGGTAGCTCTCAGTTTAAACAACAAGATAGTCGTTTGTTCGCGAGATAAGAATATGATGTATTTATTCAGATTTTTGAAAAACTACTTAATGTCTGGAATATTTTATGCAGTTAAAGCAATGATTGATAAAGATGTGACCATATTTGCACAAATATTGTGTGCATCTTTGATTAACATGCCATCTTGTTTCTTTTATGCTTGGATCGTTCTGATGTTACATGTAAGGGAAGTAAGAAACACAAACAGAACACATATATTTGGAGAATGTGAAATAAGCACGTTGTTGTTATTTTAGAGATACTAATAACTAAAAATGGATCAATAGAGAATTGATCTGTGGGTTGTACACATCATCAAGAGAGAGATAGGATATTGTAGCGGGTGATGCTTGTCATGGACCTTCTACATATCAAACTTATGACCTGGATACATGAGATGTTAGATTTACTATAGGAGAGATGAGTGTACTCTGAAATATTAGAACTCTCCGTCCGCCTTCGGCAGAGTATTTTATTATTATTCAAATCTATATGGATATCGCCCAAACATTTCTGTTTACATAAGTCCCTGGTTAGGTGTACATATGTTTTGATATTAGAGGAGCTTGCTAGGTTTGACATAGAGTGCTAAAACCCACAACTTTAGATTTGCAACATAGTAGCAACTGCTCTTTAATTCCCAAACTTAACATATATATTACATGTATGGACCGATTATATTTAAGTATCATAGTAAAGATATGATATTTAATTACTTTATTGGATATAAAATATTAGGTATTTTTTGGGAAAATGTAAAATACAGTAGTCTTTAGAGTAACATCAAGGAGGTATAAAGAATAATCTCTCTGTAACTGACAATGTCCTTTTCAATGCAGCATTTGTTGGACTGTTGGTAAGGAAAACGTTTCGAAGCATCTTCGGATCACGAGAGAGTACGAGAGACATTAGAGATGAGTTTTCTTCTCTCAAATTGTGCTACTCGAAGTTTCGTGGGTATTTCCAAACTATTCCCGGATTCTCTTTTCCATTCATTTTCTTAACCGTAGTCATGAAGATTATTCGTATGTAGGAATTCCACGCCCTTTTCCTTCTTCTACGTATGAAATTTACAATGGGAGCACCCAGGAGCCATCGACTTGAAGGAAAAAAATAGAAAAGTCTTGAGCAGGCGGTGAATATAAAGGCAAGAAAAGTAGCGAAGGTACTTTGTACTCTAGCGAGAAATTGAAACGAGAGGGATGGCCTTCCTGGAGTGAAAGCACAGAGGTAGTTTATATATTACTGTTTATATAATACTGTTGTAAGGAAAAATCTAGTTAGATTAGCTTAGGCTGGATTTCGATGGATAAGATGTAGGCCAGTAGATGACCGTACGGAATACGGACTGAAATCCAAGAAGCGAGTGGGTCGACGTGGCAATCATTGAGTCATCCACGTGGTGTGATGGGCAACTTCCACATAAGAATGGTCATGGTTGTCTGATGACAGGATAGAGTCATCCATATATATGATGGCTTGAGTAGGAACCATGGAATCACAGGATGTCCACATCTTGTCACAATCTCATGAATGATCTTTTGATGTCTATGGTTTCTACACAAAATATAGATTTCTGTCTCTTCTTTGTGCGAATCCTCCCTTCCGTTATTCGACCGTGGATTCATCCTCATCTTCAGCATTTAACTTGATCCATCCTCATCTTCAGAATATGCTTCTTCGTCTTCATTTGGACTAGTATTATGAACATAGCCGCGTGGTGAAGGAAAGAAACACTCTGAAGTGGAATTTACTTAGGTCAGATGAATAATTCTTCCAGGGATGACGTGAGAGAGTCCCATGTAAGACTCTATACCTATAGTAGAACTATATGCCCTCATAGAGTGCATTAGATATGATCGATTAAATTTAAAAATTAGCATTGATCCTCCTCTTGCTGTCATCCAGTTGATATGGCCGAGTTGGTCTAAGGCGCCAGATTAAGGTTCTGGTCCGAAAGGGCGTGGGTTCGAATCCCACTGTCAACACCCTAAGAAACTTTTTGGCGAGTCTGTGATGCCTCCTTGCCTCGCGAGCGGAACTCGGCGGTGCAGAATAATTTGCAAAGAAGTCTGATTTAAGCTTGTGCTTAATCTTTCCGAAAGTCGATTATGTCGCTTGCCTGCCGAGGCGGTGCAAAATGAATATCATGTGGCACTGGTTTAAGTTTGCGCTCGACCTTTTCAAGATATCGTGGGGTTCAGCCCAATGGGCATAATCTGAATGTCACTGTGGCCGGCACATTTCACACGTGGTGTGCTAAAGACTCCGATTTCGGCTAAGATTAGCTGCGGCTTTTGAGATGGCAACGGAGTCAAATTCTCAACATTTGAGAAGCGACCAAGTGAAGGGGCTTAAAAGAATAATCTGTAATGAACAACTAATATCTGACATTTCTCTTTGCAGCAGTTACATATTGTGCTGGTTATTTCTTCTACAGTGATCAACTATTGATATGGCCTCCCCAGAGATCATTAACATTTATCTCTCGTGGATGTGATATACTTTGGATATAACAAGTATCTATATGTCTTTGTCATTTAGGAGTGCAAAAGAACGTGATTCATCTTCTAAACATCAATAACATACAAATTATGTAACTGCAAGCGTATATCATGTGGCTCACTTTTAACAATCTAATCCAATCCAATCCAATCAACATGGGTATGCAAGAAAAAATATTCCAAACCACAAGAAAATTGTGGCATTTCACGATATGGAAGAAAATTGAAAGTAAATTAAAGATGTCACATGCATACAATATATTGTTAGAGTATATATAATCCTTATCAGACTATCACAAAATAATTTAGAAAAAATAAAAAATTCTGTCTTCATAAGCATGGAATTTCTTTTTCCAAACTGTTTCAAGCATTGTGTAGATGAAAATTTGAAAATTATAAATACAAAATTGGTAGAAAAGAGCATTAGATGAAAAATATCCAAACATTGCAAACATGCATAATAAAATGTAATCTGATGAAATCAAATGAAATTTAATACTACTGTACTCATAAATAAAAAATTACTTTATCAAAAATAATCATATATATTAATTTTTGGATAATTTATTTATTTTGCATAAAAATCATTTAATAATGATAAATTAATATAAAATTTTCATTTATATTTCATAGTTTCATAATTCATACATATTCGTAATTTTTAAAAAAACCATAAACAAAATCTATGCAATAGTTTTCAAGATTGACAAAGTCAAAAAAAGTGTACCAGCATGTGAGACAAAATTGTAAATGAATTGTTGTGGACAAACAAAATATTAATGCATGTTTCGTGTTATTTAATTTGATAAAATAAATCTTTCTGTAATTTGATGCAATAGTAGTGACATTCATAATTTTGATCATTAAAAAGGTTTTTGGTTCTGGCCGTATCATCCAAAATTTACTGATAATTCATTCGGTTTTATTTTCTTCATTCTAAGTAATTTTTTTTTACATTATTATATTTCTATTGATGGAACAAAAATATTGAAATTGACAAAATCTCATATTTTTATATTTCTATATAGAAAGTTATTAAAATATGATGTCAAAATAAGTAATTAAATATTGCATAAATTTTTTTCTTATAGTTTTTATGATCTTAACTCAGATCTCCAATCTGTCGTGGAAATTGTGAGAAATACACTATAAAATGCCTTATTAATACGTGGAAATATATCAAACAGCTTGAATTTAATGCCAAGGACAACCAAAGCTAAAATTTGTATACTACACATTGAACCAAAAAAAAATATTACGGATGCATTATTTTATGGCCAAAATACGTATATGATATGGGTATGTATTTTGTACATCAATGCCTACACAAAGAACATTTTCATTTTATTATGTACAGAATACATACTCTCAGTTTAAGCCTTCATTAAGTATATCTGTATATATAAGTCCATCTCAATGCCCTTGCTCTTTCAAATCAAAGTAAATATGTACTGTTCAATGTTTGTATATTTGTATGCAGATGTACAATTTGTTCACATGGCTGCTCTTCTTTGAACTTTGACATGTCTTTACAAATTTTCTCTTCTTACGGATTAATCCACATTACGATCATAATTAAATTGTATTTTTCAGGTTGCTCAAATCGGATGTTATGACCATTCATCTAAAATCTTAATCTCTATGATGTAATAAATGATAAATAAATGTAGTAAGTGTTGATGAAATGTTTTACTCCGTCATCAACCTTATCTTATCCAACACGTGCACAATGTAAAAGTTGGAACTCGAACACTTTCATACTGGATCAGTGTACATATTTTTGTTTCAAGGATTGAATCGCAGTCTCTTTAGCAAACCTTTAATACATCTAATTCATGTACTTGATTTTGATCTTCATTCGTGCTCCAGTGCTCAAAGCCTCTAACTTCCACCAATATTCAGAATTATTGGCAAGATGGAGTTATCAACCAAAATTAGTTTTCTTTGATCGCCCGCCAACGCACAGGTTTTCTACTTCCTTTCTACTCGTACTTCGTTTAATTTCAGATGGGTTTTCGTATACAACTCTTTCGTTTGAGTTCTCCCCGTTTTCTGCCTTTGAGCATCGATTTGGGCAAGCTTTGTAGAGTGACTGAGGAAGAACTTACTAAACACAATACACAGCACAAGGAAGTATTGTGTTCAGTGAAAGATTGAATGTACTTCGTTCCTACACGCTTACCGAAAACAATCTCTCCGTGGATACCTGTGGAAAATCCACAGTTCCTCTTCGCAAGTGAAAGTCAGATTATGGTGTCGACAACGTCCAAGGAATCTAAACAAGAAGCGCTCAAGCGCGTTCGAATTCCTCAAGCAGGTTTTCCATGGAATGAAGTAAGCTACGTTGTGAATTCCAAGCAGTTCCCGAATCTTTCATTTCTTCCCGCATAACATTGGCAGTAGCCACATAGTATACCGAAACCCACAGCTCTGTAAATCCTCAAGCTGTCCATCGCTACACTCAGCGAAAAACATCGAGCCTAACAGACTTGGTTCAAAAGTTGGCAAAGTAACCATTTGATTACCAGCAGTTTGTACACAACATTCTTAAATGATGTTTAATAGTATTGATTCAGAAGGGTCGGACAACTTTCCTGTCGTCAGGAAGATCAAAATAAGACTACGATATAAATGAGGACCTCTAGTCACGTTATGGATCACATTCCTCTACTAATATACAACGTTTTGGAAGATCTGGCTTTGCTTAAAGCCCATTCGCAGTATCAACAGAAAGTTCCTAACGAGCCCTGAACCTCATTTTTGAAGCATGACAAAGACGCAGACCAGACAGTACGTAATTGCTCGTAACTCTTGAGGCCCGTGCCCTTCCCTGAGGCAAAGAAGGACTACCAACACCAAAATACGCACAAAAGTGTAGGGGTCACTCTACGAGCATGTCTTGATACTTAGATACTAGCACAATACCTTCCAAGCAGGTGGCTCTTCATACTCTGCCATAAACAAACGCGCGACATACTCACTGGTCTTTCTTAGGTCTATCCTCATAATCTTCGTCGTCCAGTTCTCCCATCCACCTTCCCGTCAAAGACTTCATCTCATCTGTTCCAGACACATGCAGCACAACAGAGAATATTCAGAAACACCCAGTTGTCATGAGGTTCAGAAGGAGATTCGAAAGCCACAAGTCATATACCTCTCTTGAGAAACTGAAAACAAAAAGTGAGGAACAAAATCACCAATACATCCACATGGTCCAACCTGCTTCTTTCCGCCCAGCCTCCACAAAGGCATGATTGCTATCATCTACATCTTCGTCGTGATGCACCAAGCTGCTCTCCTCGTTCAATCGGCGCTGATGTACACCATCCTCTGATAGACCGGTAAATGGGGACCTGGCAAGGATTTCTTGATCGATAACTTGTCGAAGAGCCTCTTCTCCTTCATCATGTTCGGCTAGGGAGTCATTTTCACCGAGTGGAACTGTTCTATAGCCAAATTAAGGTAAACATTGCAAGATAAACTGGGTAATGTAAACATCATCCAGATCATCATCCATTCCCGGAAATGCCGGGGTTTAGGGAAAAGAGGTGAAGCTTATGCTTGTGTTCTCCCAAAAATGAGCCAAAACATCTCCCAAGTTTTGCAAGCTGATTATATCTTATTTGCGGAAACTAATATGCATCTTTACCAAGACTACATATTTTGTAGAGCTAATTTGTGAGAACTACACTATCTGACAGAAAAAGAAGGCGAGAACTCGGAATATGAAGGATACGAGTAGCCCACAACAGTAGGACTGAGCCCAAAGTTTACAAGAGCCTCTGCCATGCCTTTCAGAGCTGTAAAAAACACAGGCAAGCTACTTCGCTTGAGATGTTATGTCGTCTCTTACAAATTGAAAATCATATCCACAGACCATGCGGACAATAAAGTGAAAAATGGATCACGGCACTAATGTGTTGCGAGTATTTTCCATTCTGCCTCCAAAATCGTAGACATGCACAAAATATGTACAAGGTATCTATAAAATAATTTGTGATGCAACCCTGTACTTCAAATCTTTACCTAGTAACCTATTGTAAGATGAAGTACCTGCTCGGAAGCTCCACACTTTATCCTTCACTATTGCGATGGTTTCATCCAACATTGGAGTATCTGCATCGAACGAGAATTCCACATGGCCACCATCATTACTATCACATGGGGCACTGACTTCCGACAGCAGCAAACATAGCACCCTGCATAGTTACGCTATGATCATTCAGATTCAGAAGCTTCAAGTAAAGAAGAGTACCTGACACAGTGTCAAAACTAAGGGGGTCATTGTCCTGTTGTTGGTTATGGCTGTGATTGTACGATCTATGCCACTCGTCATCAACTCCAAGCTCCTGTCACCCCACATTGTTCTTAGATTCTTCATATCACACCTTACTCCGTACATGCTAGTCAGCAAATTACATCGTTAAACAAAAGGCGATCTGAACTACACTCTGAAGAATAACAGGCCCAAACCTGGCCCAACGTTGCCATTTTGACGCAATCCTCGTTCAGCCTGAAGCTCTCATGAGTGACCACAATTATCACTGCAACCTTAGATCCTGGACATGCAACACAAAAATTGACATCACAACTTTGAATGCAAAAGATATTGTCAACAGTCTGGATGAACTTACAGCTTCAAATGAAAGCAAAGTTTGCAGACTGGCTCTTACTTTGAACCCAATCCATCAAGAAGACATACTACATATTGTTAAGCCACGTGATAAGACCATAACCTTCACGGTCTTAATCTCCTTGGCGGAGAACGCCGAGTTTTAGAGTCTACAGCTGGAGGGCATAGCTTCAATTGAGATATGGATGTAGACCAACTGATAATCCCAAGTGAACTTTGTAAGAAGTGAACAAGACGACGATTTCGGATTAGTCCTCGTAAATAATCGAGGACTAATATGAAAAATCAAGGATAATCTTCCATCACTCTTGAGATATGGATGTAGACCAACTGATAATCCCAAGTGAACTTAGTAAGAAGTGAACAAGATGACGATTTCGGATTAGTCCTCGTCAATAATCGAGGACTAATATGAAAAATCAAGGATAGTCTTCCTTCACTCTGAGATGGCAAAACTAAAGCTCTTCACGTTCAGAACACCATTAGGATCACCCTCGTGATTGTATCATGCCGCTTTTCTACCGAGAAAAGAATGTGTGCTCAGGATGGGCACGATTGTGCCTTGAAAAAATTCATTCCTTGATCCTATCCACTGTGCTTTGGTTATTCAAAGGCTATAAAAGTTTCTCCATTGATCATAAACTCGACCAATTTTGAAGGTCTTCCATGAGAACACAAGGTACTCCCAATTTTTCGAATAACAATGACTGCACCATGGGTCGTATAGTTATTTCAGCTTCATTGGAGGCCGAAGAGAAGGCCAAAACACAAATTTCCAAATAACATTACGAAACCCAAAGCCCCATGAATGCTCGTCTCAGTCAACTCGAAAGTTGTTAGGTCCAGGTGAAATTCTTACTTTGAAAAATTTGATTAACATACAATTCAACATTCCATGGTTCCCTAGCTTGGCAGGCTTGTCAATACGGTTCCTTAGCCGACAGAGCAGACTTTTCCTCTGTCAATCCGCTTGGTATGTACAAAGAGCCTGTGAACTTACCTCATCTGCAGCGTCCTCGTGCAGCTTATGACTGCGACTTCAGTACCTGCTGTAAATAAAAGACAGCCTAAGCAATTTGCCAAACCCTTTCCACTTCACTCAGGGAGGAATTTGCAACATATGCAACATACTCAATACAGACTGCAAAGCCAGAAGGTCGAAGGTGAACGGCTCCTGCTAGAAGATTAACACCGTAAGCGCTCCACGGAATGGCTAACGCGGGTCCGAGACTCGATAGCGTTCAGGCTGTAATTGAGCGATCTCAGGTAGGCAATTGGTCTCGATTTTGAAGGTAAACAAGCATAAGAGGACAGAAACTACGCCGCAGTTCAACTTCAGAAAAAGAAGCCGATTACAAAGACCGACCAATTCCGGGGAAAGCAGTTATATAGACAAAGCCAAAGGAGTACTCCGAAACCATTCTATTGAAGCTGCTCCGTCCAGTAGACAACCTTCCTCAGGAGGCAACACCGACACCCGTCAATCCTGGAAAAAAAAAAACGAAATGAAGCCCTAACCAGAAACCGTGACCTCGGGGAAAAACTCCACGCCACACCTCGTCACAGGGAACTGGGTACTCAGGCAGATTACAAAACCACTAACTACCGACCGCGCAGAATCTCGCATTCAGACCAAGGTTCAGTCACGACTCCGGCTCCTCTCCCCATCGGCGATGCAGTATTGCAGACCTATCCTCCATAGAACTCAGCGACAGACTCCATCCAATTCGGGCTCAGAAATTCCGACCACCCTCCCGTTGACAACGAAAAATTCAAATCATCGGGTGCATCGCGCCAACAAACCACCGTGAGGAGAGAATGTCTGTGAACAGGAAGGAGAGAAAGCCAGCTCACCGGGAAAGGCAAGGCCTCGGGTTCGCAGATCCGCCCTCTTCTGCTTAGATCACCCCCGATTTCATGAAGGATTCGCAGGCGCCAGAGATGGACTGCAGCAACACTCACGCACACGAGGGATGGAGCTCCCCATAGAAAGACGAGGGAGGCGACGACGAGAAGAAGGCGACGAGGAGGAATCAGCAGTCCACGGGCCCCGACGCTCGCCTCGCCTCGCGTGGCGCGCCCTGTCACAGGGCCGCGGCACCTGCCGCGTCATGGTCGACGTCAACCGGACTGCTCCTGCACCGTCACCGCCTCCACTTTTGAACCATCCTGCACAAGAACCACGTCGGGTTTATCGTACTGCCGATTCCCGACTGTAGCCTCGGGACAACAACAACAACAACCATGCCGTGGTCGTGCAACTGCGAGGCAGAGAATTTGCGTTATATTGTCGTAATATTGTCGTTTTGGACCAGTTTGGATTTTCTCGTCTCCCAGGTAAGACTGGGCTACCATAACAACTTTCTTTCACGCTTCATGTACATAAAGACAAGACGAGAGTGTCATGGTGTCCGTGGTGACATCATCCTACCAAGAGCCTTCTGGTGACTACTCGCAACTACATCCACTTTTGCCAATTTTGTGTCCATGGATTACTTTACCTATAAAAATCACACTTTCCAGATACTTTTGCATTTTTGTCTAGTTTTGCAACCCTCTACATCTTTTCATATTCTGATTGTGTGTTCATGTATGGGTTTAATATATATGAATGATAACACTTATACCATTTTTTGCTAACTGACAATCTTTACACTAATTTATTTTTCATTTATGCCAACAAGTAGTCTTATTAGTTATGAATGATGACTCAATAATAGAAATTCGCTAACCTTGTTATCTTTCATACTGAATTGGTTGCAGATAAGATCATCCTCGAGGCATGAGTATATTACAGCAATGTATATATTATTAAAATATAATATAACATCTCTCTCATATTTAAATACATAGTCAAGTCAATAGCCAAGTTGTACAAGTATCTGGATGTGCAAAAATTTCTAACTAAATGATTTACTTAAGGCAACGATATTTCATTAAAGGACCCAGAAATTTCAGAGATGGTTGACATTATATGTTCCGCAATGAAACAAGTTTTTAAGCACAATGTTTTTTGGTAACAAGGGTGTGTGGATCGGTTGACGTCGTAGAAAGAGTTTCTAAAACCAGATACTAAGGACGATTCTATCTTATCTTAGATGCTTGATTGTATACAGTACATATAAGATTTAAATATTTATTTGATGTCCATAAATAACATTCTTATATGATCTAAAATGCCCTTGTCAACTATTTTTCAAATCATTAGCCTTTTTTACCAAATAAAAGGTTCATACAAATTCAGACATCTCTTCGCAAAAAACGGGCACAATTGGTGGGATGAAATCATAAATCATTACTTTGGCATAGTTTGTCTTGCTTAATGAAACTAATATAATTTACTCACATCTTGTATTAGAACAACTAAACCCATATTTACTGAAACCCCTTATAGATATTTATTCCATTTGGAGACAATGTCGATTAGAATTATTAGACGATAATAAGTAGGGTTACAACTAGAACCCAACGTTGTGCGATGACGACCAACGTTGCAAAGGAGCTATTGCAATTACACGGTCGAATAACCACAGTACATTCGCCTGACTCCGACATCGTCGTGGTTGGCAGCACCAAGTCACCTTCACGGTCCACAGTTCAAACCTCGTTGTTCCCACCTGCTTACTTTCACTCCACAGTAAAAGTAGATGCCGCCTTCACAGCCCGCCTACAGAGAAAAAGAAAAGTGAAAAGAACGTTTTGCTCATTCTTTTGGGGGATGCTAATAATATACTCGAGAAATAATGAAAGTCCCTGCGGCAATTTTAAAGACCCCGCAAAACGGGATAGGCTTCTGATCAAGTGTCAACCAGGGACCGAACTGTGCATCAAATCAGATCGTGGAGAGTGTGGAGAATTAATCAAGGATTCGCATCTCGGCCGGTGATGGGCCGTGCCCGAGATTCGAACATAATGGGGAGGAATTCTGGTCACCAAATCCTCCTTAAATTTCTCAGGCCAAAAAAAGCAACAGAGTAATCGAGCGCATGGCAATATGGCATTCCTGGAGATCGTTGGGTTGAATTTTAGGCTCCTACTATAGTCGATGGGGAGTCCTGTCACAGTGTCTGGACGCTGGGGTCGCATTACTGACTCCTGAGATGATGCAGCAGAACATGCGATGGAAGACTTTCGATCGAAGAGGGCGAGTTCGCCACGGAGGGCTTCGGTCAACGAAGTCGTGACTGTGAAATTGTGGCCTGCTCAGAATATCAAACGATCTCGTCGCTTCAGGTGTTGAGTCGATAAATACAAATGGCTTGACATGAGTGATTGGACATGCCAGTGGACGCCGTTATCATAATTTAAGGAGAACATGAACGTGTAACTTAGGTCTAGGCATATGACTTCTAGTTTTGACGTGTGAACGTACTTTACACAATATATAAATAAATGGGAAAGTTTGATTACTAAATACCAGGGAATCATTTTATTACTTCTATTCAAATGTAAGTGATTTACCTTCATTATAATATATAATTATACATGATTGAAGGTAAATAATTGAAGAATATATTATGTGAACATAAATTTAATAAAAATAATTATGAAAATTAATCACAAGATTTTTGGATTTCTTTATAAATTATGATATTACAAATAAATCTTGAAACAAGAGAACCTATATTATTTGAGACTGAATGAGCTTTCATGTGTTTTGATTTCATGTCATTTTTTAAAATTGAAATTTTTTTTGTATCTTCTTTCATCAATTGCAAATGTTGAATATGGCCTAATGATTTAATCCTCTTATGAATAAATTGAATGGAAATGAAGATAAATTGGACTATAAATAGTATTTCTATGATTTACATTCCAAATAGAAGTATATGTAAATTTATATACTTTGAGGATCTACTCCTTAGAATATAGAATAAACGTGTATCATAAATTTTCAAATTAATCAAATGTAGTGCAAAGTGATTACACGTAGACTATTATTATATACATGATAAATAATTATCAAACACATACAACGTTCATAGATGTATGAGAAAACAGTTCTTGAAAGTGTAAATATCATTTCATATACAATGATTATTATACACAAATAAAATAATTATTTTTTCACATCAGATTTTGAATTATCTGGACCTGAACAATCATTTTGCATGTTCATCCAAGAGAATATTAGATAATACCGTCCCAAATATAAAAATCATATTGATATTAGGAGAAATTTTGGAGATTGTTGGCATTTAATATTAGGTTTGCATTCTACTTAAATGATGGATAAGCGAATGCTTCTGTTAGGTACTATTGATGAATGATGATTATTCGAGTATACTACTTGTTACTTTTGTGATGAGGGACTAGTTATACCTCACTTTGGGCTAATTAGCCCTCATACTAGTATACGGTCGATCAAGATTAGTCCGAAGTTATAGGTGTCAGTGGTTTAAGTTCATGTCTCTTCTAACTTGGCTGACCTTCTTGTAAGCCACCGTACCGCACCTCGGCTGGTCCTACAGAGGCTGTTTTTTTCCATGAACTCGGTGTGCAGTCAAGAACCAGAAGGGCTAAGACATAGCGACCTCACTTGCACGACTCCGACTCTTGTTGCAGTTGACGATTTGGTGCACCCAGTGCTTTCATCGTAATGTCGGAGTCTGCTAATCCATTCATACTAGAAGCTTAATCCCACCAATCCAAAGCTGGATTTTTGCTAATTTCCCGATCCGATTCATTTCTCTCCCATCATGTTCACCCATCCTCACATTATGCGGCTCTTGATTCACTTCCATTATGTCGAGGTTATCATCGAATGTAAATCATGCATCCCTCTCACCAGGTCCTTGCCCTTGGGTTTGGACCTGCATCAGTCGGTCTAGCATGGAGGTTCTACCGCTTAGAACATTAGGATATATCTGATTATCCTTTGCGATCTAAAATGAAATGTGGATAAGTTGGTAATTTGTGGCAAGCATATAGTGATACTCCTAATTTGTCCAAATTATCATCTTGAATCTTATGAACAGAAATTCATGTAATAATTGGGACTTGATCTATCCATTTTGATATCATCGCGACCAACATTCAATCCAGCGGCAGCCGTAGGCATTAGGTCAGATCAGACCAGCCAAGCCCAGGTGGGAGCGGGTTGTGGGCTGTACACAACTGCGGGTATAGTTTCTTGCGACAGTCCAGCCATGTTAGAAGAGCCATCAACTTAACCCATTGTCCTTATAACTTTGGACCAATAATGATGAATGGTATCCTATGATGAGGGTTGATTACCCCAAAGTGAGGAATAACTAGCCCCTCCCACTTTTGTGTATTCATTGTTTGAGTGTTATTTCAAACATTTCAGATACTCTTGCTATAATTTTTTTAGGGAGCGGGTAGTTATTACTAAGATGAGGCTAATTAGCCATCATCCTACTAGATCCTAGAAGCTCGGCCAATCCAATTCAGTTTAGATACATGACTAATCGTGGATCGACCCGAAGCCCGATCTCCAGTGCTACCTCATGGTACTTCCCAGTTGACTAAAGTTGGGACAATGTGGAACTCTCTGCCTACTTTCACCAATAACCGGGAGCTGGGGGTTGATCCACGCCCGACAGCATGTTGGGAGCTTTGGATTTGTGACCTTTGAGCTGCTCGCCGAACTTGGCAATGAATCCCCATGGCCATTGTAAGACAAGCAAGGCATGCGCTCTAATGTAATTTCTGGATGAGGACATTGGAGTATAGAATACAACCTAATCACACGCATATGATACCACATCCCTTGGCAAAAGATCAAAGTCACAATTCATGGGAAATTGGGTAAGATAGAGGAAGGTAACAGTTCTCAAAAGAACTGTTATCCATCAGTTTAGTACAAACCTGAAGTGATTTCGTCCCTTTCATCTGGGGTATAAAGTCTTTTCATGTCAAACACACGGGTACTAATCCAGTAAGGGATACTCTTTATCTTCGCTAAGGTTGCTCTAAAAGCAAAGTGAAAAAAGCTTTCTGGCACAAGGGGGAGTAACATTTTCGCCGAGCTGAAGAACGGAAGGCACCGATATCTGCTGACAATGATATCACTCAGTCACTTGTCTACAATGATATGAATTGGTTAGATCCTTTAGGATGTAGCAGGGTGAATGATACTGTGTCTTAACTGAGGGATAATTAATTCCTCCCTTTCTCCGACCTTACTCTTCACATACTATTTTGCACGATTATTTTTTCACCGCATGATCTTTTCTTACATTACCTTTTCCGAATTTTCTTCCTTCCTTTCTTCTTATTTTCGGATATTTTTTTCATCAATGCATTATGTGCCGAAAAAGTAATATATTTTGCTGTATAGAATATACTTTTTCCATTTTCGACTAACACGCTCAGGAAGCTTTAACTAAAGTGAAAACCATGCTAAGATGTATCTTCGAAGAGTAATTGTGCACATTGCTTTTCCGATAATCGCTGAAAGTATTTTCCACCAGTCGAAGTCTCCCATCATCTGTTAGAATTAGGAGATGGGTGTTGCAACAAACAATCTTCAGCGTCTTCGTACTTATGTCTGAGGCACTGGTTTTTTATTTTCCTTTTCACGGTATTATTACACGAAGTTAGTTCGCCATACATCGACGTTGTTAGACAGTCCCCGACAATGCAGAATGGCTAGTTGACCATCAACGGACTCATCTTCTTGATGAAGGGTCAAGGAACAGGTCACACGAATCCAGAATAAGGTTTTGCAGCCTGAAATAATGGACGGGAAGGGTTGGAACTATCGCGAGATTTAGTCACGTAAACTCTCTGACGCGCTTGGATCTTGATATCCAAGCGTATACCTTCAGTTTCCGTCTATGAAATCGTATCCATTTCTTCCCACATCTTTTTTTTAGACACTCGTCACTGAATTGAACAATGAAGAGCCACTATTTGAAAGAACTTAAACGGTCATTGAAATGTGGCATAGATATATATAAAAAGATGAGAATCATCACTAGCATTATCAATGTGATGAAATCACAATATCGTTTCAAGTAGAATAGAGACGACAAGTAACATTTTTACAGCAGGAGGCAGATACGAACTACGATTTTGATTGTAGATTTAGGCGTAGATTGTGATTGGCTTCCACACTCAACACACAAGGACATTAAACTAAACCTACACAGGGGATAAGCTGAAGAAGAGAAAGGGCAGTTGTAGTTCTTTGATTTTTTCTCTTGGACAAAAGAAGCGAAACTTTCTCAACCTTCACTTGTCAACAGCGTCCATGAACACCATGCTACTATCCCAAGTTGCGTTGAAGGATCAAATTGACTACTCTTCACATTAACTGAACAGCCTGTAGAAAGAATATTTCGACTATCCGTTGCTTCTATCTTCGCGAAAAAAAGATGTACATAACTCTGGAAACTATACAGACGACATAGCCAAGTACACGTCGAAGAGTAGACACCAAGGTTATACCAATACAACAAGGACCTGTAGAAAGTAGAAAGGTGATTGTTCTATGTAAGAGAGCTTCAACGGAGAGGAGATCAATCTCCACACAAGTTAAATCTGGAAGACGCAAATTAAATCAGAAACACATAGTTCAATGATCTAACCTGACTTTAGTTGTTGAGAGCAATTCCACGCGCGTAGCACATCGGCCAGAACATCGACATTGAGTTAACAGCGAAGTTGAAGATAATCTCTGACGACAGACATTTCAGTTCACAGCCAACTGCCACACAGTAGCGACCAACTCGATCGATGCGGGAACCAACATCCACAACCGAACCTTTGGGACATCGAAGACGAGATTTCAAAACGTAGCAGAGAAACAAATTCCAAGCTCAAAGTTCATCCGAAAGAGACTATCATTCTTCTTCGCCGTGTACTCAATACCACGCTCTGTCAGCAGCCTTCGTTCCTCTAAAAATCGAAGCTCCTGAACCTCGAAACACCGTCATATGGTATAACCCGTCTCCTGCAAGAAGACGGGTGCGGAGTTTCAAAGCTCATGGCCACTCCCGGCAGTGCCTGAACGGCTCTTAAACCCGGCTCTTGTGGAATTTAAGGTCACGAGAGGAAAGGGAAAAGCTTGTCTCGAAGGTCATGAATATGCGACCTAACGGTAGGCTTGGCACGCATGAAGCTGGCAGCTCGATCCGCAAGGCTGTACAGTGCTTCTCTGCTCGCGCACGTCCAGAACTGTGAAATAAGCGGACGTTGGGTAGGCAGATATTATTCAGGTCTGACGTTTGGAGCGAACGTGTGGTTATTTTGTTCACTGTTCCGACTTATGTGGACACGAGGGTTTCTTCGTTTAGGTTCGCAATACTTTATGTTGCGACAATCCACTTTTTATGGAAACTTCCCTTCACTTCCGTGAATATTTTATTTTTTACTTGTTCATTTCTATATATATATATCCAATTTTGAAAAGTGTATGCTTAATATATTTAAATTTAACCCAATCTAATATTTAGATTTAATTTAAATTATAATATTTCATATATTACTTTTCTTTATCACATGTATTGAATTTTCATTATGCATGGCAGGAATTTATAAATACTTAATTTATACATATATATTTGTGCATCTAATATCTATGCTTTTGTGGTGCCATGGCATCTCTTCTGTGAATAAATTTTAGCATGTGTTATCTTGAATTCACACAGCTTTAATTACTTTGATTTTATAAAAATATGTAATTTCTTTATTAATTCTTACACATTGATACGTATTTTCATATTATATTCGTAATTTTAGTATAATATTTTCATGTTTTATAGAAGGATTATTTTTATATATTGAAACTTGATATGTGTTGATTTTTCATTTTAACATTGTTGAATATAATATATTTTCGGCATAAACATTTCTAACATAACCTCAATATGATGAAATTTTATCTATATTTATCAATGATTGAAATTATATGAATTTAATATCGAAGTACAAGGCATGAATCAACACTCTCTAGGTACTATTTTTCCATTCATCTCAAATATACATCCTAAAAAAATCATGATAATATGTAATAAATTCTTCAGAATTTGTATACAATGAATTATTAAATGTTTTATGAATATTTTGAATAAGTAATCATTTTATTTTATGATAAAAATATTAATATAAAATATTAATCTAAAATATTTATGATCGAGCTTATTACAAAAATTGGACTTTCAGTCACAAATATTTTACTACAATAAATTCTTTTTTTTTTGAAAATATTTCCACATTACATTACATTACATTTCCACATGTAATGTGGAAATATTTTCAAAAAGCATGAAGTTTACTACTAGCATAAAGTTTACAAATAACACAAGTTTTGAATGCTAATTCCACTTATGAATAACATTAACTACTCCAATAATTTGTATAGTATTGAAATATATATTTGAACCAAAATAGATAAGACTTCATTTTTTCTATAATTTACTGCATGGAAATAAAGAAAAATAATAATTTTATGAATTGGATGTAAGGAAACAATCTTACTCATGAAATTCTGTTTAAGAAGTAATTAACACAATTCAACATTTCATTTTAAAATTTCTGTATATAAAAAATAATGATTGCATGGCTTAAATATCTAATGTTTTAATTATTCCAATATGCAAATCTTGAAATTGTTTGGAATAAACTACTTTAAAAAAATGATGATACAAAATATGATGTATATATATAGTAGAACACGTATTTTAAATATTCAATATTATGACACATATGTGTTCAAAAATTTAAAAAATTTGTTTACTAATCTTGAATGCATGTTCTTATCAATTTGTTGTAACAATGTAGTTTCAGAAAGTCTTTATTTTATAGTTTATCTTATTAAACAAGAATTTACCATTGTTGGCTAATCCATATCATGTAAAATATTATTCGAATCTTTTTAAAATGAAAAAATGCAAAAATGCATTTTTATAAATATAATTATTTAAGCTCTTTACCATAAGTTTTTTTTTTCCAGAATCTCAACTAAAAACATATTTGTTTGAACTTTTATTTCAATTGTGACTCTGAATTTTTGTTATAAAATTCTGTCATGAATATTTCTATGTATAGCAAGGGTCAATTTTATATAACTTGGAAGAAAAAACTTGATTGAGGTTTAGAGTTTTAAAAGTTGAAATCTCAAATTTTTTCAATGTTACTACTAACATTAACAAAATTTGAGAGATATGAGATGAATATATTTAGTGTAATATATACAAGACATTTGTATGATCGATTTATCTTCCCTGCTGTCAAATGTATGATTCTGTTATAAGTAATCTTGATTATATTTTTTATATTTTTTATTAATATAAAATATATTTCATTTTAAATTATATTTATAATAATATTGAAAATTGATACTTTATAAACCGTTTAGAGAAAAAAAATTGAAGTAATCACGTAATAAATAAATAAATTTTGCAACTTTTAATCTTAAAATAGGACTATCTTCTGTATAAATCAACATTTATAGTCAAAATTATTCCTAAGAGAGTCTAAAAATAAATTCTATTTTTTGGGTTGTATATAATAATAGCTATATTAATGAAATAAATAAAAATAAATTGAATAATATTTATCAGAATAGGAAATTAAGTTTTACATTTCTATTTTATTTTTTTCATGAATTTTTTTCCCAAAATCTATCTCACTATTACTTAAATTAAAAAATTATGAAATAAAATACGCTCGTTTGTAAATATTTAGTATTTATCAATTGAGGTGAAAAAATTGAGGTATTTGATTTACTTAATGAATCATTTGTATGCTCAATAGATTTTATTGATTTTTTTATGATTTCTTGTAATTTCTGAAGTATAGAGTATATCAAATTGACAATTTATATGTTTTTCTGTTGAAATTATATTTCTGGGTGTTTTTCTAGTTTTGACATTTTTTGAAATTCAAAAAATTTGAATTTTTTGATTTTTATTTTTAACTTGAATATTTCTTTCATACATAATTTGACATCCACTCAAATCTCTTCACATCAATCACAATGCAAAATTATTTCTCATATGCAAGAAAAAGTAATATAAATGTCCTTTATTACTATGTACGTATTCAATAATAATTATCTTCATAATTCATCTCATTTTTTAAAAATTTTATGATGTCACACATTTCTCAAATAAATGCATAAATTGATGACTCATCATTGCATTTAAGCACAATTGCTAAAAGTTAATCATAATATAAAAAGCACATAAATTGTTGAAATCTCATTTTGAATCAATGTATTCAAATTTGTATCGAGCAAATTATTTTTATTTAAAGTATAAGCGAATCATTATAAATAAATAAAATATCACATCATTGTATCTTAAATCTTTTGTATTTATTTATAAATAATTACTGTTTATCACACACACACATTTTTAATTTTCAATTGTTATGATTCAACATTGACTTCTGTTATTCTATCAAATTTATTATGAAATTTATAAATATGATCATATACGCTAAATATATCAAAATTATATACATATTAACTATATTGTTAATTTTTGTCAATGAACACACAATTATTATAAATTTGATTTTTTCTAAGATTCAATAATTTTTATTAGACAAAAATGATCATTACTGATCAAAATATAATATTTTATTTCAAATATCAATAATTTGTTTCTAAATAGGTTTTCATAACAATTTGAACCTCTTCTTAAAAGAGTGGAATATTAGGTATTATTGACATCATAGATATTCCATGGATAAATGTCATGAAACTTTCTTTTTCCATCTTTTTGTTGTTTTATGGTTTATATGGTGAAATTTTTCATATGTACTGCTTTTTCAATAATTTTTTAAGTGATTAGTTATATCTAAGTTTTTTCCTAATCACCGTTTGCTCATTCAAGAATGCTTTCAGGTTTCACATTTCATTTCATGTTTGATAAATTATAAAAATTGAGTTTAACATCAATTTCAAATATGGATTGGTTATTAGTAAAATGTTTAATTTTTTATTTTAAAAGAATTTCTTTTCTCCATTTTTATAATAAATATTTGCATTAAATCTCAATAGATACAATGAATGAACTCAACGAATCATGAATTAAATATTATCGTGATTTTACAAATTCAAACCATGATCACTTAAAGTAGTGGTAAGATATTGTATCTTACCGACATTTTTGTTAAGAGTAAAATTGATTATCAAGCTAGTCTCTTACCAAGGAGAAAAAATATCTTGTTAGACATAAAAAAAATATGCATAAATATAAAAGATACATATGTATGCTATAACATAACTTGAAGAGAACACACCATCGATATGAGAAACAATTATTAAGATACATCATCTCATGCAGTGTAATTATACCATTTCTCATATTTTGAGGTGGTTTATATTTTTTTTTTCTCTTTGTAGAATCTAGTCAAATACTCAAGCGTTTTGCACACATGAATATATAAGATCAACAAAGGACATTTCTAGTCTATCGCAAAGTGCAGAAGATTGCCTATTGAACGAATGTGGATATAGAAGTATGGTTAAAAGTCCGAAATAAGACATGGTTTGAAAGCTAACACTTCTCGGCTGATATACGTATTATCAAAGTGATTAACTGTCATACTGCGTGATACTGTCGTCACAATCGGTACGATTGTTATCTCCACGGACTTACACAGAGTAGTCAAATCAATATCTTCCTGAATCTTTTGTTTCGTTAACTGGACTACAAACATTCTTCACTCTTGCTAAAATCTTCTAGAATGTAGCAAATAAGCTGAAGTGAGTGGCTTAAATTATTTCTACAACCTTCTTTCCATGCAGTCTCTATGCCAGTCTCCCATAGGATTAATAAGTAGCAGAAACTATTACTGACCAAGAAAGCTCACTTGGTCTTCTAGCTTTTTGTACTAAACACCAAATTACAATATTTGTTCCCATGATATCGAGTGTAGAAAAATCCACAAGTTCATTACTCTTCCCACCTTCTACACGGAGACCGATGAAAATTCCAGATCAACATCAGTCTTCTCACTCCTGTCAGAAGACTGATGTTGATACCATAACATAAACTACCTACCTACCACTGTGCGACTCTGCGAACTGTGGATCCTCCGGAGACCACTAATATCCATGGCAGCAAATGCTGATGTAATTCGGGGGTCAAAGTCATCAAAGAAGCATGAGCAACACGACCAGAGCCATTCTCTCATATTTTGATGATTTATGAGAACTCTTGATGTATCTTAACATTTCATGGTCAAACCAGTGATCCACATCACTGCTGCTACACGAGACCAGCTGGGAGCCAGCCCATGCACACCAGTACATAAAATTGCACCGAACGTCACGTCCATTTTCAGCTCAAAGGGCTCCTCGTCGTCGCAGAACTCGGAACTCAATATATTGTAAGCCGACAGATCCTGTCCACGTTGTTGATCACATACCACCGATATCCGTTCTCAATTCTTCGTGGCAGGACTAGTAAGGAGAACCAAACTGCAATCTTTTCCTGGTGCGGGGACTCATCGGGAAAGGCGGGAGTGGAGAAGGGATGTGTGATTGTGATGAGGTTGTGATCGTACATCAGAGAATCTTGCTATTGTGATGGAACTGTACAAAGCCATATATCAACTATGGCCTAAATCCCCTAGACCTACTCTCTCATCCCCTACACGACCCTCAAGAAGCTCAGATGGTGACTTGACAGACCTGTACTCCGATAAATTCTCCGTACGTAGTGCAATATAGTATGTCGTTCCATATTTTGAGAATTGAAACAAAAATTCCAAACAGAAGAATTGTACGACTTGATTATTTCAATAATTTTCAGAGCGAAAGACTAGTATAGACAACTATCATCGTTTTGTTAGACTAAAATGAACACTAGCTAACACTATTCCTAAACTTCACAGCATAAATTGTTGTATCGCACTGGAGAGTTCAGTGATACAATATATGGCTCTATGGAAAAGTTCTATGTGGAGACTTTTTCCACAGAGCTGTATGGATTGTGATCATAGCTGGGTAGTAGAATAGCCGAATAACACAAAATTCTTCCTCACACTGAAAAGTTACAATATATACTGCTATAAAATTCCATTCTTTTTTGTGAAATGATCTTAAAAGGTTATCTATCAAGAAAAAATCTAGACTACCGTTTGTGCATGATGATTGACATAGTGTTGTCGTATGTCGAAGACTGACCAAGCAACGAGCGACGATTTTCACAAATAGAATGAATATCTGACGTTGACTTGACTGCATCGAGCTCAGTATAATGTGTACCAAAATTTCGTTGAAAGTTGGTTAAAAAGGGCCAAGTGGATAAAAAAGAGATGGGAAGACCCCATCAAGATTTAAAGACAAGACTTCGGTCCCAGACTACCTGCTATTAATACAAGTCTTCCTAATGAGTACAAGGAAGAAAACGGAGCACTGGGATGACCCAAGAGGATGGGAGGACAGGATCAAGTCATCGGTACAAATGCAACGATGGGTGCAAATGCTTCGCGGTGTACAACCAGAAACGCTTCCAAATTAGGCGCATCCAAAGTGATGGCGCTTTTTCATCTCGGACTTCGTCTCGTCTGATCAAATTCTGTCGTCGTCGTCTTTTGCGACGACGAATTTCCTCTGCTCACTTCTGCATGCCGCTTTGTTACTCGCCAACGGCCACAATGCAGTCATCTGGTCCGTGCGTCAGGTTATGAAGTCTAATCGGTCCTCCATCGTAGCAGCATTCAATGTACCCCTCATCAACCGTAAACAAGCATTACATGCCCTATGTCATAATATGAAGAGTGCGGCAGACTCTCGCAGTAAACATTAGAGGAAACATTTAGAAAGTGTGCATAGAACATTGAAAGATAAGTTTCTGTCCAATATTTGGTGGAGATTTAAATTTTTATTGAACTACGTTTTTTTTTATTGTAAAAAATTTATTCTAAAAATGTATGAAAAAGAAAATTGAAGCAATATCATAATGTTTCAGTTTTTAATAAAGTTAGATGTAAAAATATTTTAATATAATTACAATATGACAAAATCAAAGTTAATAATCTTCATTTGTAAGAAACAAAGTGAGCTTTTGTGAATGTTTTTGTATCATGCATTAGGAAATCCTCATGCATGATACAATTTATGATTATAATTTTTTTTTACGAATTTACATTGTGAAGCTTAAAATATATTTCATTGCATTCTTTCACATTTTTATGACTTTCTTCAAGTTTAATTTTTTTTAAGGATATTTTATATGTTAAGGTATATATATATTATATATTTGTCATCATTGAAAAGATAATATCTTATTTTTTGGCTTATGAAGATGGAAACTGAATTTGGAAAGACGTTGCTATGCTTTATAGTATATTAGAAATGGGAAAAATATACACTTGAAGGAATTTATTTCATATACTATCCTAGATGTGGTGGTTTTTTGTTAGATATCTAACAATGACACAATGTCCAAAAGGATGTATACTCCCTCTTATATATGACCGGAAATTAAAATGTCATTAGCAAAGCTCTCCAAGAGTAATTACATGTTTTAAGCTGAAATTTCTTATCTCCATGTAGATTTCTAGCTATTTATAGCTAGTTATTTGCTCGTGTCTTCAACATGTTTGTAAGAGAATCTGCAAACAAAATATATTATACTAGTAGACATGATATAACTATGTTTAGTTTATTGTTTGACATGTATTCGAAAACTTGTTCCCACAATCTAAATAAATTACATTTGTTGGATTTCGAAAGAGCAATCACTTCACGTTACAATAATATTGTCTGCGAAACGTCAACATGAATAGTTGAGACATGTGAGATACAAGAAGTCATATTCAGGATAAGTAAGTGAAGTTATGTTACTGTTTCGGTTTCCCCTTGTGAGTCTTCATTGTGCATTCTCATCCGGCTAGATTACTTGGTCCTCGCTGGTCAGTCATACGTTGACGTAAATTAGGATCGTGCTCGAAATCCCTGTTTTACGATACGACCGATTCAATTCCAGCAAAGCAGTAAAGACGAGTGCTTTTGCACTTTAGAATGGTTCAATATTAAACGAGTGGAAAACCCGGTCCACTGCTCTACAATGCGTTCTACAAGAGCATATACGTGTTGGAAGATAATGGAGAAGAATGTTGTGATCCACAGTTAAAGTGGCTCCGTCGTACCTGGTCCAAAACTGAGAAACAGCCGAACGCGAAATGGAAGACTCTGGCTCAGGCAGCAGTAACTGCGCGATGCAAAGGCCAACATTGCCAGAAGACTACGGTGAGCCAAAACTACGGCGAAAGGTAGGACCGAGTAACGGATATTTCTGACCGAAATAGAAAACCGTACCATGCGATCGAATCCAGCTCCGGGAGCCATAACTTTCCGGTCGTCGTTTCTGCGGGACAGCCGAGGGGCTTACTCGGTCCAGCCCACAACCGGGTAGGTCCGAGCTGGATCTCCACCTACCCTCACCAGGCTCCACAGCCCTGCCAGACAGATCAGACCACCGGAGCCGGCGGATTGACTGCCCGTTGCGCCGAGGGCGTCCGAGTCCCGTCCCGTCCCGTCCGTCCCTCGCTCGCTAGCTGGTCCACGAGGTCCGCTCCACCGTCTCACGTCAGCGCGTTATGATCCGCCGGTTTCTCGCCGACGGAGCCCGGTCGCAAGTGCTGGGAGCCCGGCGCTCGCTCCCTTCCCCCTCCATTCCAGGTACTGACCGTTAGAGCACAGTGACGCGGAATGATATCTGATCGGAAAACGACAAATTTCACGGCAGTCAGTAGAACTGAATTATGATTGATGTGCACATGGAGAGTCTGAGCCGCCAAATATTAAGAGACTGAAGTCGGACGTAGGAGTCCACTCCGCATTCACCCCATCGATCAATGAAAGCACAGGGCACAGCCTCTCTATTCTGCGAGTATGGCTGACGTTTTGCCATTAGCTTAATGGATGTAGATATGCAAAGTTTGATTTATTTACGGATATGTTCACCCGTGTATCCAGAGAGGTGATTGCCAGACAAGTAAACAGTAAAATACTAAATGGATGGTAACATGCATCAAGTCATATAACGATGCAACCAAATGGGTGACATGGTGCCAATACCCGATAATATCACAATCATTATCTGTTGTATCTAAAAGCCACATACTATTTCGGTAAAACAAGTGTTTTCATACAATGACTATAACACCTAGTGCAAGCAATCCAGATTTTTTTGGGAAAAATTACGTTGGAAGTATTAACCATAATTACCAGGTTACACAAATGGTTAAGAAATCTTTTTACCAATAATTATGCAAAGAATAATACTGATTGATTCAGAAATGGATGAAAACATGTGAAGAAAAAATTTCCCCTTGGTTATATAAGCCAGATGCAAAGTAGGAAAGGTACATATAGCTCTACTGTACTCGACAACATGTTTTAGCAACCTACATATTTGCAAATATCATGTGGATAAGTGTGACTTTTAGACTTTTTTGTAATTAAATCTATTTTTTCTAATGTAGTCCGTGATTGAGATGCTGATTGCTTTCACGACCAATAAAGTGAGATTATTAATGAAAATAATCAATAATCTTCTAGGATTTTGACTCTTGATGAGGTTTTTTTAAGTCTAAATTGTTAAGTTTATTCATGACTTGGAATTACTATACAAGCATTTGGAGGGTTCAAAACATAATGGCATAATCATCTTAGGGAAAGTGAAAATATCTGCCTCCAATCTACAATCTGTCTACTTCTGGTATTCTGATTGGTGATCAAGTTCATCCTTCCAACCCGTAACAAATTCTATAATTGGATGGTGTTTCTTGAGCTTTGAATGGTTCAAAAGCTTATGACGCTTGGTCCGACTTTGGAGTTCTTGGTATAGATTTTGTATGACATATTTCAATCTCAATTGAATGAGAAAGATATTACATCTATTTGGTACATCAATAGAGGATGTACATTCCGACAATAAAACTGTGATAATATAATACATGAAATCTTTTTATATAATTTAAACAGTGTAATATATCAAAATGAGAGAAAAACATTGTAAGAATCAATTATACAAGCACATCATTTTTACTCTTCCAACTGACTTTCATTATTTAAACTCGATCAAGGAAAATCAATAAAATTCAGATGAATTCTTCATCTAATAAATTTGTGTGTTTTTTTGAAGTAAGATGTTGTATGCATGAGATGATTTTATTATACATGTAGTTAAGGGTAAACATTACCAGATACAGATTTAGAGATAAAGAAATGCGGGTATATACACATGTGAAAGCAAGTATATATATAGAGTTTTGAACAAATTATGTTCATTGATTAGTTTTGTGGATCCCGCATTTTAACACTAAGAAAGATTGTTCATGTTCAGCACTGTCCATATCCAACGATGTTTGTCACAGTCTGGCACTTTTAGCGGATGTCATCATCCATGGACTGAAACATAGAGATAGGGATTGCCAAACGCTCGCTTTTACACGATAAACGAAGCATGAAATACACGTCAGGAATACACAGGGATACAATACACAGGACGCGGATATAAGAAACTGATTGCATGTGAAGCCATGTGGTCTAAAAGCAGGCCGAGTCTATATAATGGGAAGACTCTATCGCTGCACCAGAAACTCTCCCTTTCCAGCGGAACAAAGAAAGCCTCGTTGGCTCTGACATTCCAAAGCTTTTCTTTAACAATTATATTGTAATATCAAGGAGGTGAGGGGTTACTCTCATCGAGCACACCAAGCTGCGCTGACTGTATTTTTCTGTTTCCAAGAGTGTACCGAGGAAAATAATGTTACACACAACGCCGATAGCTCAGATACTTTGTCTCTAGTGAAATTTGGTGCCTGACTCGGCAGACAAGAGTCAAGGCGATCAGACGGGACTCACAAGCGGCCGATAAGAGCAGTGCAGATGAGACAAACGCAAAAGGCTCACGAGCGGAGGTTTGGGGTGCGAGAGAATTGTTGGCTTATTCGGAGGGGCGCAGCGGTGAACGTTCACACGCCAGGTCGTACCTGAGATCGGAAGTGTCCTCCGTGGCGGAATCTTGGTACGTAGGGGAGCGCGAGCGAGTGGATCCACTAGGGCCCCCGAAGCGCAGTGTGAACGCGCGCCGAAACCGGCCGATGCAAATCGACGGGATGCGATTCGCATTCTGCTGGGAAAGCGTCGACGGTCCGCTACTTCGTGGACCCGAGGCGCGACGCCGCAACGTCCCGGCACCGTCGGTCGGTCGACGCGATCCCTTCGGGAGCCGCCGTCCGCGTCCATCCATCCTTCCGGGAAGGAGGACCGTGGACGTGCCAACAGAGCAGCGGGGACCGCAATACTCCTCCGCTGGACAATCGCTGTCAGCCTTCGGGGACATTCGCAACGTTCGCCTGCGCGACGGTCAACAGGCGCCGGTCAGCACTGCCTGCGTTGCAACGCCGTCCTCCGTTCCTGGGACGCAAAGAAGGACGCGGAGGAACGTGGGCTGCGATCGCGAAGTCAGTGAGTGAGTGACACCATGGACGTGCCAGCCGTGCAAGTTCCCGTGCGTCGCCCCGACCACATCAGCACGCCGCAGCCGCAGCAGCAGCAGCCCGAGCCCGCGTCGCGCCGTGTGAACGCTCCTTCCTCCCGGCGGGGGAGAAAAACGCCACCCGCGACCCGCATTGTCTAAAGGGTGCCGGAAAAGGGAGGAAAAGCAGCACGCCATGCGGACGTCATCTGCCCCGTCACGGGCACGGGGAGAAAAGCTGGCCCGAGGCGAGGGCCGAGCCCGTGGAGAGGCGGACGTCTTATATTTGCCCGCTGGGAATTGCCTCCGGAGTCGACCAGACACGAAGACTAGCTTCAGTCGATTTCTCGAGTCCTCTCCCCATCCCTTCCCTCCCTCCCTTCCTTCCTCCCTCCCTCCCCTGACTCGATTCCTCGTCCTTACCTGCGGGGATTGTAAATTCCAAGAATTCCACAGCTCCGCCTCGTCAATTCGTGCAGTCTCGTTCAGTCCAGCTCATTTTAGGCCAAAAGGGCCGAGCCCAAATAGTCAGTTCGCTCTTCGAGCACTTGTAGATTTCGTTCCAACGGTGAGGGAAGTTAGGCAGCAGCAGGGACGTGCTCAGAGTTTCTCAGAGCTGGGAGCTCGTTCAATACATTCGAGGGTTGGTCATGTTGCTCTAGCGAAGGAGAGCGCGCTCCGTCGAGAGTGCGAGGGCTTTGATTCGGTGGTTGGCAAGGTGAGGCGGTCGTGAGCGTGCTGGGGTGTGAATTCGGCGAGCAGGCAGGCAGGGGGAGGCAGCGACAAGAAGAGGAGGGCTGGTTGGTGAGATTGTGAAGACTGCTCGCTCGCTCGCTCGGCAGTCGTCTCTCGAGAAGGGCCGGTCGTGGAGGTAGCGGCGGTGAAGATGCATTCGGGCGAGGAACGCAGAGTGCTGAACGCGGGCAGTGCGTCGACGCACGAGGAGGAGGAGGAGACGAGCTCGTTGCGGCGCTCGGCCTCTGTGAAGCAGCAGAACGCCGAAGGCGGTCACGCTCGAAATCTGAAGAGGTATGGTTCGCAGTCTTCGCTCGGGCAAGGAGTGCAAGTCGGATCGACCGGGACGGTTTTCTCGCTCATCGGGCAGGAGGATCGCTCGAGGCCTCAGAGAGCGCCGCACCAGCAACAGCAGCAGCAGCAATCGTTCCGGAGCAAATCCGTCTCGTGGAAGGACCCGATGATGTACCTGCAGAGGATGGGGAGCCGCAGAGTGCCGGTGTTCATTCCCAGCAAGCCCGCCCGCAGCTACCGCCAGCAGCCCAAGCCACAGCCTCTGCGCAAAGATGCATCGCCCGAGCGCAAGAAACCCTCCGCATGGGCTCGTCTCATGAAGAAGCTGGGCCTGGACGGCGGCAAGAAGGTGCACGCGGCTCGGGCGGATTGGCTCAACTACGACGCCCAGAGCTACGCCATGAATTTCGAGAAAGACAGAGAAACTCAATCCTCCTCGAGCTATCAAATGCCGAAAATCTCAGGTCCCGGGGCTCGCGAGATCGTCACCGTCTTGCTGCAGAGGACGTCATCCATGAACCGGAATTCGGGCTCCATACTGATTCCGAAGCCGGTGCCTCACACCACTTCCAAGGCCGAGATGAGCACTCCCCTGTGGCAAAGGAGGAGTGTCAACGCCCCCTCGTCGCTCGATCTCCATAGGTTCCGACCCTCCACCGTGGGCAGAGCCAGGCGAGGGTCCGCCGTCTAGAGCACCTTGTTTCTCTGCGAGAACTACTTCTGCTGGATCTTTTTCTGCCGGCCTTTCACCATCGATGCCGCAGTGATGACCACCAGTCATCACACGAGGAATCAACACATGGGTGAAGTTTGATCGTGAAGACCTCGGGCCAACGCTTTAGCTCTACGCGTCCGATTTTCTATATGCACTCGATTAGCGTGGAGGTAGTTCGTTCAACCCTTACCAGCACCAACAGCATGTAATGTTATCATGTGTCTACATAGGCAAGTACTGTAACTCGGAAGAGTGTCGAGCCATAAGTGTGGGGCAATCGTCATACGTCTTATCTTTATCGAGCCCAGCAAGAGATGATTACTGGCAGCGCATCAGCTGCATCGAGCTGCTCTCTCCATCGTCTGGCACTTCGGGCGGAACGCAATTCTTTCAAAGCGTCGAGGCTGTGCTCAGTCAGACCGGGGCTCCGTGGAATTGAGCAGGATTCGCTGTCCTCACATTCGAAGACAGGCTCGCCCCCGGGCCACGAAAGGCACGAGCCGGGGCTCTGCGAGACTGCCGCAGAGCTCCGCTCGTGAACGTCGACAATCAGAACGGTTCAAGAAGGCATCAGCTCCATGTTCGGACGGATGGGCCGACGAGCATCCAAATTTTTGCTAGAGGAGGAAGAGTGAGTTTCCCGGAAGTTCAATTAGACGAGTACCTTCGGAGGTTGCGTAGCGAGCACTGTACATTACCTCGTCTATTGTAGATAAATCGAGTGCTTGATAGACGAGTGACGGTTTGACGTTGCGAATGTCGAACGAATCAGCACTCGGACTCGATTTTATTTTGTTGTGTAAATTATCGAATCTTCGAACCCTTTTTTCTTCTTCCAATATACAAAACTATTGCAATCAAAGTTGGTGTTCGTCTGCTCGGGCGCTCTTCGTCTCAAATTTTGTCTCGAAATTCATTCTTTCATCAGAGCTCGGTTCATGTCGAGTCGTTCTCGCTCATCAGTCCACAGCTTTGAGTAATTGTCACCGGGGTTTGGTTGGTGGCTTAAATTTTACAATCTTTAGATCTTCAGAGATGAAATCACTTCTGTAGAAAGGGCTTGGGTTCACGGCTTGTGGTTTCAGGACAATGCAGGCACAGGTTGGAGGGTCGGACTCGAAAACCTTGAGCAAGAATCAAGGTTTGTAAGCCTGGCAAGTCGGATGTCGTAGCGTGTGGCGCGGGGGGGTGATTGCTGCTCACGAGGCGTGAACACGGGAGGTCAACACTGTACGAATTTGGATAACTTGAGCATAAATTACGTGCCGCAGCCAAGTTGCCTCGCGAGGCGGGAAGTGGGGAAGGCCTTATAAAGTGAGAGAACTCAGAATATGGGATGCCCTCGTCGGGTTGGGCTTCACTCTTCCTCCCTCGCCGGAGTTCTCTGCGCTGAACACCGCCAGAGTTTTCTTGCCGACAAGGCATCGCAGTCGACAGGCAGCGGTGGCGCCCGATTCGCCGAATGCATCATCCAGATCAGAAGCCCCACTGTATCGATTGCCAAAAAAGGTCGGCCTCGTCAGAATGATACGAAACATGAGTGGCGGCAACACTGTGCCAGCACCGTCAAGAATCCCTCGTCATATTCCAAATTATCGCGTTTGAACGAGGCGCAAGCTCACAAGAACAGAGCAGCAATTCTGCGCTTGTCGGTTGCTCGCCATAAGTCGCGCTCAGACACGAAGAAAACAAAACAGCCCCGACATCAGAGAGCTCTCCGATGATGAGAGTTCTCTGACCCCGATGCCGTAGGGAACGTGGGAGAGCGGTATGCGAGGGAACCCGTAGAGCGAAAGATTGGTGCACCCCTAATTCCACAAACCAGAGCCGTCCGTCTCTGGAGGACGAGGGCGAAAATGCCGAGATCGCTCGCTCACCTGCACGCGCACTCTCGCGAAGAATTAAGTCGCCCGCTCGCCGAATCCAGGGCCCTCCTCGAGGCCCCAACTGCTCTGCAAAATCGACGTGCGCTTCGCTTCTGTCAGGCCGGCCGGGCACGGCGGGGGATTTATGAACGGAGCGAACGTGCTCGTGCCCATCCCGTCTCGTCCCGTCTCCACCGGTCCGTCCGACCCGTCCCAGTCAGTCCGTCCGTCCGAGTGGTCGCTATCGCTGTCGCCGGACATGCGGACGCGTGGCTCTGCCATCCCTCTCCCCTCCCTCACGTCCGTCCGTCCGTCCGTCCGTCCTTCCTGTTCAGAGAGTGATGAGACTGCGAGACTCGACTGACCGACCGACCGCTCTGACGGATGGAATCAGAAACGTCCGTGGATGATCCATCCGGCCCCACAAGCGAGCGCGGGACGCAGGATGAGCGCCTCGTGCTGATCCTCCGGCGCATCCATCGACGCAACGACCGCGGGGGACAAACTGTTATCCGTCTGTCCGTCGATACGTCCAGCGCCCGCTGACGCCGTACCGGAGCACAGTCCCGCAGTCCGACTGCGTAGATAGGCTTTCCAGCGGATGCGGCCGACGCTGTCGCCGCCAGATATCCCACCGCGGTACGAGATGCGCTGGATGGCACCCCAACCGCGACTGCGGCGGGGCCTTCTCTACTCGGTCGGCCCCGCGACTCCGTTGTCCGCTGCGTGGTAGGCCTCGACCTGTCAGTCTGAGCTTCGTGCAGGAGTGCACTTTCTTCGTGGGAGGCGGGGGCTCTCGATTCCTGCTGGAATTCGATCGCTGCTGACCTGCAGGGATGCGGACGCATGTTCCGAAAGGTGAATCTCATGCTTTAGTGGACGGATTCTGCGTCACGGTGCATCTTCTATCCAGATCTACAGGTCACTCATTCCCTCCAGTTTTGGGCCCATGTGACTTTTCTCGGTTTGAAGCTCTCTTGCGCAGGTTGCGTGGACGAACAGAGACTCTGATGATCCATTCTGTACTGTACTTCGATCTCTTCTGCTCGCTGGATCTTCGTCCCGGTGTGCCGAAACTGCATCTCTGAAAGCCATCAGGCTTTTCGATCCTGTACGATTTTCGTTTCGGAATGCGCATGTGAATGGGCAGTAGGTGACGTAAATCCTTGAGGCCCACGTAAGTTCTGATGCACATGATGATTCTAGATGAATCGCGTTGCAGCAAGTTAATGCTGATCACGTATAATACGTGTGCGAATTCGACACATTTGAAATGGACTAGGGTATGTTTTTTTCCTACCCTAGACCTTTTCCCTCTTTCTTGTGAGAAAAGATGACTTGCAAACTTGGGTGCTCGACTAGCAATACCAATCAAATTGGCCGAAAACAACCGTCGCGTAGCACTTGTATTAAAAAGCTGCAAATCCTTCTTTCAATGATGTAGTGGATGAGTTACAGTACTTCATAACTTAGTGCATGTCGAGAAAATATAATCTGAACATCGTGCGGACAATACAAAATTTAAAGGAATGCCATGAATGCTACACACCGGTCATTTTATTTTCTTTCCTCGTTAGCTGTGTACTGTATCTTAAACCTTGATGTATATTCCCTTGTCATGCGTTGAAGATCTATCTATTGGTTAAAAAAGATAATGAAAGTGATATACATCCTCACTGTAAATCTCTTTGCAGATATAATCGAATCGTGATACAAAAATCTTCTGGTCAACTTAAAGTGATGAATTTGTAATCGGGTAACCTGTAACATCGTACGGAATGCAAATGATCAATTTGCATTTACGTCTGGAAACGAAACATCATCTTATATCATAATAATGTACACTAGGATTAGACAGAGATTTACTCGAGATATACGATTTGTTCAATGATTTGATAATCATGTTATATCAATGCCAAAAAGCTCCGAAGTTAACATTACAATGCAGTCTGATGTATGCACTAAATGCGTGGACGGCATGGCATTACTGCCTAAACAAAGGAATCAAAACGCTTTTCTAAAACATCCTCGAATGACAATCTGAAGGTTCGTAGAAGAATGTCTCTCTGGGCAGTGCTGACCAACCTCGCGTACCCTTTATTTCCTGCACATCCAGTACCCACAACATATTATTAAGTACACACTACAAAGAGCATGCCAGAAACATGAATCCGCAATTCTCTGCTTCTGTACACTATATCATCACCAATCATTAGCCTAAATAATCATTACAGTTTTAACTCTAAGAGGGCCGAAAGTGGCTTCTTTCTGTAGAATTGGTTTGAGGGTTTTGAGAGCTTTGGAAAGTACCTCTGATTTCTAGTGCTCGGAAAATACACAATACTATTGGAAACGTAAGAGATACAAGATAGAAGAAGATAAAACAATCATTCTCTATCATGGTGTGTTACGTCATTGCTAAGGGCATAGCCGAAGAGATACTACTAATTGGGGTTTCTAGGTTTCTCTTTTTACTTGCTATATTGGGTCTCAAGATAAATACTAATCGGTAAGATGTGAAAGTTGTGAAATTACGCACAACATATTGTGCGCTATGACCAAAATGCTTCGTCAAATATTGCCCTCGAATTACGAGGTATTTTCTCAGAAGATTCCCAAACAGTGGAGCATGATGAAACTTCAGTCAGTTGTAGGTCATTACACTGCATGAGGGCTCGTCCGATTTTCTGGCCTGCAAGTTGAAACGATGACATCAGCTGTGACCTCATCAACCGGGATCCATCTCTGTTTCAATAATATCATGACATTATGCCCGCGACCGCCAAATCTTGAAGCTATTCGAAGGCTCGTCGGTCGCTGTCAGTAACTCATTAGGCTTGGTTGCGTGAACTGAACTGTACACTGCTTTCTTCAATGTCTCTCAAACCGCGGATATCTCCACGACGATCGCTTTGATTGTCGATTATTGTCTCTCCTCCTCCCCCAATTATCGTCATCCCACCGATCATTCTGCAGGATGATTGCTCTGCGTGTTCGCAACAGGAGTAGTTTCGTGGGAGTTCAGTTCATGAAGTCTACAGGGTTTTGACAATATTCATAACAGCTTCAGTTCCAATCTAGGCTCTTGACGGTCACAGCGACCTGATCGAGTTTGGTTTCACCTGATGAGACATGTCAATTAGCAACAAAAGTGTTGAAATGTTTGCAATTGTTTATTTGTTGTATTCTCAGAAGCTAAACAAATAAACCTTAACGATAATGAGCAGATGGTACGAAACTTTCTTGCTACGCGTTCGTAGCATTCAGACAGGCAAAACTTAAAGTGTCTTTTGATCTCTTTAAGGTAATATTTATCATTGAATAGACTGAAATAGTAAATATTTCTATTCCATACAATATATAATTCAACACAAACAAAGCCAACTTATGCTCATTGCAATTACATGTAAATAAAATGCAATCAAATTAAAGCTTCAAACTAAAATATATCTCACAACATCAATTAAAGTGAAAATCTTTTTATCAATGTATCAAACAAAAGGAAGTGTGAAAGTTTAACATTCCATATGTGAAAATTTTGAATGTTAAAATTTGCGAGCTGAATTTAGAGATTGCCAATTCAATGGCAGGAGTCACATTTAAAACATTCATAATTGCAAGATTGCTTTATCTAGGAAATCTTTCTTATCTTAAGTATTTCTAGAAGATAAATGATATCATAATAAAATATGAAATATAAGGAGTTTAGATTAACATCTTTTATATTTTTTTTAATAACTTCTAAATTTGACGTCATTGTAATACTACGGAATAGTGGTGTTATTTTTTATCTATACAGATAATTTTCCAAGTCAACATAAAAAGTGTTTGCAAATGAAGTGACTAATTGTTCAAAGATCTTCATTAGTTGAGTAAACCAGTACTTAATATCTCAAATGCATAAATATATTCAAGCCTCGTTGAAATCAAATTGTTTTGTTAGACAGTTAAATGCATTGCAAATTCATTGTTCATAGTGCATGGTAACCAAAAG